AAGGCCTTTGAACCATTTGATGTTTCAACTTTAGTCTTGTCAATAGCAACATACGCTCCTGCCAGATTTTGTGTGATGATTTTCTTAATACATTCTAAAGCAATCCTAATTAATATAATGGTTACAATAATTACAATTACTGTTTGCAACAAGCTAGTAAGCCAACCAGTAAGCGAAAATGCGAGTCCACGCGGTATTTTGTTTAGCCAAGTGGCCTTCCCAAATTTTAGTCAAATTTAGTAGACAAGATTTCCCATGGAATTGGATTTCCTGCTTCGGCTGGCACAGGTAAACAAGCACTTACACAGGATACATTTTGCATTTTCCCAAACCCTTGAACTAGCTGTAAAATCAGACTGTCTTTAAAGCAAGCTTCTAAAGTTACACATAGCGATCTTCAGTTGCCAAGGTCCTGTAGTTTCCACTTTTCCTGCCTTGGTTCTGAACTCCAAGCCTTCACACTGACAGAGCCTCCAGGCAGATGAGGGTGAGCAGGAGTGTCGATGGCTCAGAAAGTATGACATATACATTTTTTAATTTTTTTTTCCAGCTGGTTTAAAACTTGTCCTAAAGAAATCAAATATTCATTAATTTCCTGCTTTCCTGTTTGTTCCATTGAACCCGGGAAGGTAGATTTCTGATAGGGCTTACCAAACACAAGTTCGTATGGACTAATTTTTAAGTTAGTCCTGGGTTGTACCCATGCCCTAAAAGTAAGGCCAAAGGCAGTGCCTTTAGACATGTTCCTTGGAAAATTTTACTTATTTGCCTCTTTAGAGTTTGATTCATTCTTTCTACCTTTCCACTGGATTGCGGCCGCCAGGGTGTATGTAAATCCCAATGTGTTCCCAATATTTTACTTAATTGTTGGAGTATTTCTGCTACAAAATGGGGTCCTCTGTCTGAGGACATTCCTACTGGTACCCCAAATCTAGGAATGATTTCTTTCGATAATGTTTTAGTTACTTCCCTTGTTTTGTTGGTGTGACAGGGAAAAGCTTTGGGGTACCCCAAAAAAGTGTTTACTAATATCAATAAATACCTGTGCCCCTGCTGTCGAGGTAATTCTGAAAGATCTATTTGACAATAATCTCCTTGAGAATTTCCCTTTTCAGTCACACCCGGGAGTGGGTGTCTTGTACTTAAAGGATTATTTTTTAAGCATACTGAATATCTTTCAGTAACTTATTTTACTATTTTTGTAATACTTATACTGATCACTTGAGGTTTTCAACTATTTAGCATAGAACCTATTCCCAGTGTTTCTGTTGGTGTTTTATCTTTGACTATTTGTGTCTTTAATGGTGCAGGTATTATTACCTGATTTTGTGGAGTTATGAACCAGCCCTGACCATTTTCTTTTCCCTTTAAAAGCATTGCTAACACTTGGTATCAAAATTATATTTTCTGGAATTAATGCTAGGATGCCTTGTCGTGCAGCCTCTTTTGCCAGTTTATCTGCCAATTTGTTCCCCTGATGAACTGGTGAAAATCCCTGTTGGTGTTCTCGATAATGCTTAGCAGCAACCTCCTTGGTCTTTTTAATGGCTTCCAAGAGTTTCAGAATTTCTTCTTTGTGTTTTGTCGATGATCCTTGTGCTCATCTCAACCCCCTTTCTTTTCAAATAGGTCCATGTGCATCTACTACACTGAATGTGTATTTTGAATCAGTCCAGATTCTTTTTCCTTCCATCATTTCCAAGGTCTGTTGGAGAGCAATCAGTTCTGCTTTTTGGGCAGAAGTATTTACAGGCAAGGGCATAGCTTCAATTACCTCTGTGGTAATTACTATAGCGTATCCTGCTTTTTGTTTTCTTTCCAGGACAAAACTGGTACCATCTGTGAAAAGTTTACAATCAGGATTTTCCAGTGGTTCATTGTGCAGGTCAGGATGACTTGAATATACCTGTTCAATAGTCAGTAAACAATCATGGGTCAGTGGTTCTTCCTTTGATTCCTGGGTGGCCAGGAACAAGGCTGGGTTAACTGCTGAAGTTGTCTTCAGTTCTACATCATTTTGTTCCATCAAGACCACCTGATACTTATATGTTCGACTAGGAGAAAACCAATGCCCCCCTTTTTGCTCTAAAAGAGAGCTGACTGCATGGGGTACACCTTCTATCCCTAAGTCAGTTTTCTGGCTTCCTGAATTAACAGTAGTTGCTGCAACTGCTCATAAGCAACTGGGCCATCCCTGGCTTACTTGACCTAATTGCTTAGAGATAACCCACAGGTCTTTTTTTCCACTGACTTTCTGAGCCAAAACTCCCAATGCCAGGTGCTGTCTTTCATGCACAAATTGTTCAAAAGGTTTTGTTAAATCTGGGAGTCCTGAGGCAGGTGTGGACATCAGGGCCAGTTCTAACTTTCGGAACGCATGTTCTCCTTCTAGGGCCTCCTTTAAAAGTTCATATAAGGGTTTCACCAGTAGTCCATAATTTGAGATCCACAGTCTGCACCACCCAGCCATTCCTAAGAATGCACACAGGTCTCTGGCTGTTGCAGGCTGGGGGCCTTGGCAAACGTCATCTTTTCAATCTGTTCCCAGCTTCTGCTGCCCTGGTATTATTTCAAACCCTAGATAGGTAACTTGCTGTCACATGATTTGGACCTTTTCTTGAGGTACTTTATAACCTCCTTGGCCCAAAAAATTTAAAAGGTTAATGTTAGTTCCACACATTTCTCATTAGTTTCCACTGCCAACAAAACATCATCTACATATTGCAAGACCAACCCTTCTGGATTATCTTTTTTCTGGAGTTCTAGTTCTTTTGCCAGTTGGTTTCCAAAAATTGCTGGACTATTCTTGAACCCTTCAAGTAGAACGGTCCAGGTACGTTGGGTCTTATGACCAGTCTGAAAGTTTTCCCAGTCGAAAGTGAAAATGGTTTGGCTTTGCTGATTGAGAGGTATGCAAAAGAAGGTATCCTTTAGACCTCTTACTATAAACCACTGATGATTTTCTGTGGGAGCTGTTAGTAAAGTGTAAGGATTGGCAACAACAGGGTGGATATCCTGAACTATTTGATTAATAGATCGCAGATCTTGCACTCATCTATACTTGTCTGTTCCAGGTTTTTTTAACAGGCAGGAGTGTTGTGCTCTGACTCACATTCTATTAACAACCCAAATGTCTTTAAATTTTCTATCAAACCCTCTATTCCTTTTCTTGCCTCTAATTTTAAAGGGTATTGTTTCTGTCATACAGGTCTCGATCCAGGTTTTAGGGTAATGCTTACAGGTTGAGCTTCTCAGAAACGTCCTGGAGTTCCACTGGCCTAAACCAGGGGGGTTACTGCATTTTCTACTTCAGTACTCCTTCAAGATTATCTGGTTTTGGTTTTCCCTGCAAGATAAAAGTCGTTGACTCGATGGCTTTAGTCTCTGGTACCAATAATTGCACTTCTCCCCCTTTATAATTTGAGCACCCAATTTACTTAGCAGGTCTCTTCCCAAGAGGGGTATTGGGCATTCAGGCATATATAAAACTGATGAGTTAACCATTGATTGTCAAATTTAAAATTAATGGGGTTAAAGAAAGTCTGTTTTTCTGGTTCCCCAGTCGCACCTACAACGTTTACAGTTTCTTTGCTTAGAGTACCTTGCTTAGTAATTATAACCGAAAATGAAGACCCTGTATCTAATAAAAAATAGACCTTTTGTTTCTCCAGTTCCAATGTAACCAGAGGTTCAGCTGGAGTCTGTTCCCCCAGTCCTCCTTGTTGTTGATTTAAGGAAAGTTTCAATGCTCCCTCCCCAGACAGCCTTTGAGGGCATTCTCTCTTCCAGTGTATATACTGGCCCTCACTGATTGCTATATTGTACTAATTTTGCCTTGGTTAAAGGATCCTCTCCCATTTGTTTTCAATATATACTTTAAGGGAGATTTCAGGATATCCTCCAGTGGTTTAGACCCACTTGTCCCCATTTCTTAGAACTCCTCAGGACACCACAAATTATTCTTGTATCAATTACACCACCAACAGATTAAAGTGATTGTTACCTCAACAGCAGGACCTGGTGAATTCCTTTTTCCAGTATAACAGTCACAGTAAGACGAGTCTTCTCCTATCAATTTCACCTTTTTGAACAGTATTATTAAAACACTTTTTTCATGAATGCTGAAGTATTAATGCCACAACTGCAAGTCTGCCTACTTAGGAAGAAGAAATAGCCATTCAACACAATAGGAGGATGTAAACAGTACTAGATGTCATGCAAAACAATGCCTCCAGACATTACTGGCAATATCTAGAAGGGGGGTAGCTGCTTTGCTGCTGTTTTCTCCAAACTATTATTTGACAGCAGATTAATGTCTCATGATAACATACATTTAATAATGGAGTAAAAAAGCTCAAATTCAAATAACCTCATTTAATACTACTGCAATGTGTCAAATATTTTCAATATTTCTATGGCCATTACACTGCTATCTGCAGGCCATAAACTGACAAGTTTTTACCCTCAGAATATCTCATGACAGCGGATGCCTGGTATCAGTGAGGCCACAAAGAAAGTTTTGCATGAGACTCTGTGCCTTTGTTCTGAGTTCTCAGCTGGTGTCCTAAGCTAGGGCAAACCTTTCTGTAAAACATAAATGAAAAATACAAAAAATTTACAAAAATGCATGACGTAAAATCAATACTTTTTTTATTATTTTATGTAAATTTTATACTTTACCAAAGGTACTTCTATTCTTTGCTTACAAAGCCAAAAATGTATCTGGATCACTTGCAAGTCAAATAGAGATATCAGATGAAAAAGAACATTTTTCAATGACCGGTTACCTGAGTTACAGTGCAATATTTAATTTCAGACAGTATTGCTCTTAAAGACTTTTTACAGTAAGAAATAATAAGCTTTTTCAATTCAAAACTGAAATCAGTGCTTTTATTAAGTTTAAGAATTCTCAGGAACCAAACCCATGAAGTATCTTACATAATGTATACTATACATTTTTGCTTGTCTCTTTAATAAATTAATACCCTGGATGACTTAAGTATTAGCAAAAATATTTACAAAACCAAGATAAAACACATTATAAAATTTTTTCAAAGATACATTACTTCTGAGAAACAGTTTGGTACCAAGAGTGCGATTTCAAGTCTTACAAAATTGCTTCTCACTTATTCAAATTCATGAAGGTAAATAAATAAGACTAAATTATACAAACAAACTAATATCCTCACATGAGTTTATGCAGTGAAAGGGTGCACCTCTTCTTGGGAGTATCCAAGATCCTTCAGATATCTGAAAGTCAGAAATCAAATTGGTAATATTAATACTTGGAGCCCAAAACCCACCACAGACACAGCTGAAGCTTAACTTCAGCACCACTATCTTGTTTTTATTCAGACATGTACAATGGACTGTATCTTTGCAAATACATTTAGAAAACAATTCATGCCCAGGAGCTCCTATAGATGATCTTTTTGTATACTGAAAAGAAAAAAATCTAAACATAAATATAGGTATCATTTTCATTATCTCAGATTTCTGAAGAGGTAGCATAATTATTGGCCAGTTCCACCTTCCATTAGATCCATGCACCTGTCTTCAGTAGGGCTGCAGAAATGCAAGTGATGTCTATATTGGTTCAGTATTTTGAAGGTGGGCAAGACACAACTAGAGGGCCTTTTATCTTCAAATATATGGCATATAAAATATAGAAAGTATTAGGTACAGACATAAATAAATGCGTTAATTAAAAAAAAATAATGAGAAGGTCTTGTGATAGAACAACTGCTTTAAATTTGACTTTTTATAACTCAATTTATCAAGCCAATACCGAAAACTTATTTCCTATTACATCAACTTTGCTATGAACATATAATTAAAAGCAGCATTTAAAACCTTGGGGAAAAAAGGTTATTGTTAAAGAGATGCTCTTAGAAAGTTTTGGGCAACTAGAGGTCATGAAATTTACATATTGCTGATATTTACTTAGCTACACACGAAATAAGCTCCTCAAGTATGATGCCAAGTGGTATTTTTCTTCTAATGTTAAAACAAACAAGAAGAAAAAAAAAGCGGGGGAAAAAAACTCCTCACCAACACACAAAACCAAAAAACCACCCCCAAACCACCAGTTTTCTTTCCAAGCAGAAAGCATAAGGCCATTTTTGAAAGACTACCAAGTAAGAAACACTATAGCTGGTTAGATAATCAGATTTCTAAAACTTCCTCCTTCTCTAGTTCATCATTTAAAATACTCACTGTACTCCTTGCTCTGTAAAAGGTGTTGGGCCACAGATGCAGATAAGCACTTTGGAGTCTTTTCTGCTTCTTTTCACAAACTCAGAGAGAAGAGATGAAGAAATCATCCCCTGTTTACCAGCCCAGTCTTTTTTTGGTTGTGAGAGAACGAACTGAACCTCAAACCTGGTAAGCAGAAGAACATTTCATAAATATCTCACCTGATTAGAAATCTGCTACACAAAATGCTAGTGATCAAGACACTGGTGTTTCCTACGATTACTTTCCTGTTCTGCTCAGCTCCCATTGCACAGCATCGGATCTCACAGACATTTAGTTATTACTACTGATCAAGTCAATCAAATCACCTCCAGTACTGTGTATTTAATTATTTAGCGCAATCTTTCAATCTTAAAAATTTTAGCTGCGTATTTCACTTTACAAGGAAAAACAGCTGGTACCAATCGATACTAAGGCACAGATTTTACTGTTGTGTTATTCACTTACACAAATTTTGGTGTAGCTCAATGTACAACTAATGAAATAAGAACGCTTAGCCCAACTTCTGAAAATGTCAGTACAATTTCATTCATGAGAAAATACTATAACTGGTTTCAAAAACTCACTAACAGTAGTTATTGAGTAAAAACTAAGCACTCGTGTATCTGAGGCTCCTACTGAAAGGGAAAAAGGGTTTTTACTGTAAATTCGCACAATGTCTAGACTATGAAGTTTTGGATGTGCCAGACATCAGCAGGTTATGAAATAATACTGATTTTTCATTTCAATGTTGTGAAGGAACAAGCGAAATGGATTTGCTCATAAAATTTCAGATAACAATTAAGTAAACATAAACAGAATGTATTTCTATCATGTGAAATCTAGGCAGTGACAATTTATCTAGGGATAAATACAAGAGTACTGAAATTAAAAGGCAACTTGATATTCCTATTTCTCCTGACAAGAGCTATGGCCCGCTAAACTAAGTTGACATTACATGTGCAGCAGTGCATTTTAATCTGCAATTACATTCTAATGGAGGAAAAAAATGCAACAATTAAACAGAAAGTGTAAATGAAAGTAATTGGCCTAATTTAACTGAGAATTTCTAGACAAACATCTCAACTACGTGACACCAAAGAGACTTTTCGAGACTTCTTGAAATTCAGAATGCTGCTCCTAGGAGTACACTATCTCTAGGACTCCTGTACTTCTCTTTGCATATCTGTATTTTTTATTGTTAAGGCTAATTTTCTTCACCTTCAAAAACCTTCTCAGACAGACCTAAAGATCATCTCATCTAACATGTCGTCTCCAACAAACATCTATGAAACACTGCCAAATCAAATCCCTGTCTGTCTGTGGGACTTACAGATCCTAATGACATGGCCTGCTGCTATGCATCTGTAATCAATGCAAGCACATCTTTCACCCCATAGGTCTCATGAAATTCTTAGCTAAGTTTCCAGAATCAGAATGCGTCTTTGTACCAAAACTGTACAGTTAGTCTAAACCCCAAGACTTGCTCTCCTATACGCTGAGATGGTGCAAGTCGTTTTCCAGAGAACTTTTAAATACCTTTGATCTTTAAGAGCTAATTGCTCTAGCTGGTTTCTCCAAAGTATGTCATCTTCTGTTCTGTTGAAGAAGATTAGCTTCACTGTCCTTAAAAAAATAAAAAATTAACAAAAATTAACTGGTGATTGTTTCTCTATTTGAAACACGTTAAAGAATAAGAACTTGCTGTGTTATACAGAAGCCTTTTACTTACATTTTTTGTTTGTTTGCAACTCTGCAATCCTCAGATCTTTTTGCCACTAACCCAGTATAGTTTTTTTAATTTGCTGTACCTAAAAGTCTGTTGGACTTATGACCTGTCTTCTAAATGTCATAACCCTGTCTGTGGTTGCAACCTCTAGTTCAGGAACTGCTGCTCTAAGAAAAATAAAGTCTCTTGATGTTACTAAGACCTGACTGAAATGACAGTACAGCTTGTCAAGTTTTATCTAGTGGTTTCTCAACATTGTTTGGGCATTACAATTAGTTGCTGGTATATGAACCCTGACCACCTTTTTAATATTATATTCACCAGCTTCTACAGGTGAAACTGGAATTTCAAGGTTATGTCAGTATTAATTTCATAAAGATGGAATGTAAATACCTAAGAGAAAATAAACTGTAAGACCAAACTACAGCTCTGTACCAGGTTATCTTATTCCTACTTTGTTTGTTGATTTATAAAATCTATTTACCTGGAAGTTACTCTTTACAAGCATATTTGAATGGAAAAAACAACAGTCATTTAAAGCCCTGTGGGATGCAGTTCAGGAACTGCTTGCATTTAACAGCATGTCATCTGTCTCATATCAGTTGTCCACAGGGTATTACGTCTATCATTAGCAATAAATAAGTTAGGTTCGTGTGGCTCCATCAAAATGTAGATTCTGTTTTGTAAAGTCAGTCTTTTTCTGTTTTACCTCCACTATAGCATAAGAATCTGAAGCGATAATGGGTACTTGTCAGCTAAGCCTGCTGGTTTTACATGCCACACAGCCCTGCAGTTCCAGTTCCATAATATGACACTCCACTACCCAGTGTCCCTTTTCCATGTAGCCAGCCTTGCTTCTAAGAGACTAGGGCTAGACACAGTATGTTTATATGACGCTACACTGAAACTACTAATTCCCATCACCTCTGTCCTCCTCCATAACTTGCAGAGAGCCATCTTTCAAACATGTACATCACAAATGTTAGGGCTTCTGCAGAGAGTTCATAATCTCCAGCTGCAATTTAAAAGCTTCTACTCTCCCAGTCAGAAGATACAGTTTTCTGACTTCTAACTTCTTCCCCTTTTGCAGTTCGGTAGCACTTCAAGATACCAAGAAATCTCTTACAAACTACATTAGATGCCAAAGAACAGAGATCATCTTCTACTTAGGAGAAGCATGCTTGTTTGCTGCTGCCAAAACGTAAAACTGAGGTATGGTTGTTGTATATAATACACATCATCAGTAGTGTTATTGAGAGAAAGACGTTCCAGACGCATTACAACTCAAAACAAGTTACAACGTACGAGCTTTGGAAAACTAGCCTTGTGTAGAACAGAATAGCCCCAAATCGGCTATGCTGCATCTTTAAATAACTAAAATCATCTCATTCAGAAGCTAGCATGTGCCAAAAGTCTTAAGTTCCTCATGTGTTTCCCAGGGCCCACTTCCATGAAAACATGGAAAACAAAGCTCTCTTCAAGAATGTAGTGCTGTCAAAGCTGGCATGGTACAGCACAGCATCGAGTGTTACTCAGGTAGGGAATAAAGTCAGCAAAATGTGCAAAGGAAAGCCATGCATTTTGTTCATTGGGCACCAAAGGAGAGAAATTGGTTACTTGGAGAATAATGTTTTGAGACACCCTTATTGATACTCCCCAGTGTAAATAATATACCTGCTGCAGTACTGCTCAGTACTCAGCACTATGAAGAGAACTGAAAATCCCAAAACTTGGAATGAAGTGACAACAGTTTTGCTAGAAATGAGGGAAAAAAGAGGTAGAAAGAAGAGATGGAGATTTAGATATGGTCCCCACCTGTACAGAAGAGATGGTTGAGAGAATGATGACAGAAGTTACGTAACAAATGAAAAACTTCATCAGCCCTTTGGAAGAAATAGGGAGAATCTAACATACTGGAATCTACTTCAACAGATGAAGATTTCAAGAAGCTCAAAAAAAGTGGTGTGCAAAGTCTTGTAGGACACTATATTAAAAGTGAATATGAGAACAGAGTAGTAATTTATAAAGGAAAAAAACAGCACTGAGGACTGATATTCTTTTAAAATTAATACTTTGGCCAAATACAATTTGGCCTGTAAAAGAAGAAAGAAGGCTGAAGGAAGAGCATTATAACTTTGTGCACGAAAGGATGCTGCAGACAGGAAGAGAACAACTGTCTTCCACTTTTACCATCGGCAAGAAATAACAGACTTCATAGACAATAAGGAGACGTTGGCTAGACAGCAAGAATAGAAATCCAATGATCCAAGCCTGTTACATGCTGCACAGCAAATGCTGCTTAGGGAAGTTGTGGCTTCTCTGGCATTTGCTGTGCAGGCCCAGATGTTCAGCAGTGCTCACCCAGCACTACAGAGGCCACTTCTGCACCCTCAGATGACAAGTCAGTCATTATGCAACTCCCTCCTCAACTTTCTGCAATTCACATTCTAGTGTGTTCAATCCACGTTTACGGCAATTGTTACTTTTCACAGTAAGACAATTTAATGCAAATTATATTTATATTGTTTATATATACATATAACTCATGTATATAAATAGTATTTAAGAAAACACACACACGTATTAAAGACAATCTTGTAATATTTTCCGAAAAGAGGAAATGAGAGTTAAAGAGCAAACATAAAGCCAAGAAACTAAGTTGCCTACACAAGTCAGAGAAGCAAAGCTTTAAGTATCTGCAAATAAACAGAACCTGTACCAGATCAAGTCATTCCAGTGCCTAACGCGAAGGAAAAATTTATTTACTTCGACTCGTAAGAAAACAGGTAAACATTAAGTTCCCGTAAGAAATTGTGCTGAAGAGAGTTAAAGTCAGCCACTCTGGTCATCTTTCAGGGACAGAGTAGATATAAACACTGTCTGCGCAGTAGCAGTTTTTAACACACGTTATCTATTCTGTTTATTCTAGTTCTTGACAAAGTGTCAAGACCTGCATCTTTTATTTTGCTCTCCTTAGCTTTGTTTTCATATTATCACAACTACTTTTATCTCCCCTCAAAAAGGAAAAAAACCCAATAAAATCATTCCAAATTCACTTAGTAGAGCTTCCAAAGCACTTTGTCAGATGACAGATTTACTTTTTGGATTCACAGAGCCAGCCACCCACTTGTTACTTGCTACTGACAATACAGGCTGCTTTGGAAAAGCCAAACAGTACGCAGTCTTGCTGCTTACAAAACAGGATTTTATGTAACTGCTGAACAATAAACAATAAAAGAATAATGCCTGAGTTTAGACTTTTTTTTTAGAAACAAATTTCTGCAGTACATGTCATGCCTTTCAGCTTTACTATGAAAATTAGTGTCCAAATAATCTCTCTATGCTGTTTCAAAATGTGCTTCATAAAGGGACATAATGAACCAAAACATCCTGTGCTTATATTGACTAGAACTCAGTATCAGAAATTAATCTCCATTACAAGAGTCCAAATTCAAAGCTACAGGAAAACAGTAGCAAGACTATTGAACTGTTCTCTGCAACAGTTTTAAAGGTTTTAAGCTTTAACAGCTTAAATCTAGTAAAGTTGTACTTTTCATTTTTATACTCTCCCAAATTACAATAGCTGACATTGACAAAAACATAATCTGCCAAGAAATTGTACATGGTGTGATTCTAGAGGAATATTTTTCTAAAAGTAATGCAAGCACACCTTACCTCTACCAAAGTATGCCCCTACAGTAACTCCTTGCATTTCCTTTTGAAATTGAGCTATTGTATACTCTATAAGGTTGTAAATGGACAAACAGATCAAGCAGAAGTACTAGTTCTGGGATTGTGAAGGACATTAGGGGCCATAACAACCTGTTCACGTGACTAAGGACAAGTAGTAGTTCCTTCTGTAGATTTTACAAGTAGAGTTCAGAATACATATGCAATACACACCTTTTTATGCATTTTAATATACTTAATGCTATGCTCACATAAGATGCATTTTTGCAAAAGCTGGAACTCATCTGGTAAAAACGTATTACAGTTGCTTGTCAGGGAAAAAGAATATAAAAGTATGCTAGCTGTTCTAATAGATTAAAGAGAAGCCCTAGCTAAACAGTTGTAAAGCACCTAAGTCCAAAAAACAGTATCAACACTGAAATATGGCAATATTAAAAAAAACACTTAAATGCAAAGCTGGTTTTAAAAAAAAAAAAAAAAAGGCAAAACAAACCCCCTCAGCATGAGCTCATTTGTATCACAACTAAAATCCAAAATATAAATCAGTCCATTTTGCTGATGGTCAAGAATCAAGTCTAAGTTGCCTAAGACTCTGACAGACTCTTCCCTAAAGCATGCCAGCTTTTGGCATAAGTTGAAGAAAAATAGTTGCAAATCACTTTATTTTGTTAATTGTTTTATAAACACTGAGGCTTGCCCACTATGTTTCATCCCTCTTTTGGATTACTCTAGCTTGGAGTTAAATCGTAAGAAGTGGACATACCGGAGGCAATTAACTTCAGTCAGAGCAAAATTCAGCAGTTTAACCATTGGTGTGAAGCCTGTGCCTGCTGCCAGTAAAAAGAGATCTTCTGAAGTTTGAACCTGTGACTTCTTGAAGCTACCTTCAGGATTGCTGACAGAAATACAGTCTCCTTCATTAAAAAAAATAAAAAAAGTAAACATTAATGAGAAGAAACCAAGGGAATTAGTATTATGGGTTTTTTTAAGGCCACTTCATAGCGTCTTTATCTTTCACGTATTAGGGTTCCTTTCAGAAAGGTACTATACATTTTACACAAGGATCAAAGATTCTTGTTAAGAGATATTAAATTAAAACATCTTGTCTTGATGCATTTTATACCATATGAGTACATAAACATTTGTGAAATCAGTGTTAAAAATCTACCTCTGTATCTGAAATGGAAAAGGAAGTACATCTTAAGTCTAATAAAACAGACCTAGCTTTCTTTATTCAGAAGTACAAAAAATTGTTCTATAGAGCATATACAATCAAAGTGATCAACTATAATGTATGATACAGTTGACATATCTGAACACATGAACATATTTGGATGATCAAACAGAAGAGCTTTATGTAATGGAGAGTTAGTTACAGTATGGGCATAGAAAATAAGATTTAAAAAAAGTTACAAGTATGTCCTGACGTATAAGGTAAACAATAAAACAGTCCAATACCAAGACAGGGAAACTGGAAAGACAAAGTGAAAAAGAAACACAAAACCACCCCAGCATATACTTACCAATTTGTAGATGGTCAAGTGCCTGTGTGAACAGTCCACAGGAATAAATCTTAATCATTAAATATATATGTGCACTACCATTGCAAGTTGGTTCTTTGAAATCCAGTGGCCAAAAAGGCAATACAGGCGTGTACGGTTTTACTACCTCCGTCCCTAGACATAAGACAAAAAGATAGCTGAAATAATATGAAAAGTACTCTACATTCAGCAAATTTATTGCAAGCAAATACCAAAATAAACAGTAAACAAATAATCTGTATATCCCATCAAAATAACACCATCGCATGCTTTTATGCAAGTATATTACTTTCCACAGCACCAGTTCTTATTACAGTAGCCTTCCACTTCTAATTAAAATCTTCAGACCGCTGTACAGTATGTTATTTCTACACTAACCAATTCAAAACACTGGAAGAAAAGAATTAGTCATCCCAAAGAACATGAAAGTCTAAGCATTTGCATTTAATTGCAAGTAGCACTGCTTGATTCTTTCTAAAGTGAAATAGGAGATGCTTAGATTATATTTTCTTTATCATTTCAAGAAGCTATTTGTATAATGATTGAAAGAAAGTTTGCAACAGTTGGACACAAGCAAAGAATTAGGTAGGGAGGAGGAGGTGCACAAAACAGTTCACAATTAAAGGGCATTTAAAAACACTTCTGAGAAATCTCTCTACCATGTATAATGCAATGCAAGGACAGAGTGGAAAAATGGGGAAAATTAGAGACCACCCCACTCCCCAGGCCCCAAAAGATATAACACTAAAGAAATCTTAGGGTAAAATGCAGCTGCTCCTTCCAGCTGTTGGCATGCACGGAATCTCCCCTAAGAGAATGTTCCCCAGGCAACTCTGCAACCTTGGCATATGCCAAGAGGAACTGAACGGAGGGTGGAGCGGAGTGAAGGCCCCGTGGCCAGCCCCTGTTGTAATCCCTGCAGCAGGGGACACTTCTGAGAAATCTCTCTACCATGTATAATGCAATGCAAGGACAGAGTGGAAAAATGGGGAAAATTAGAGACCACCCCACTCCCCAGGCCCCAAAAGATATAACACTAAAGAAATCTTAGGGTAAAATGCAGCTGCTCCTTCCAGCTGTTGGCATGCACGGAATCTCCCCTAAGAGAATGTTCCCCAGGCAACTCTGCAACCTTGGCATATGCCAAGAGGAACTGAACGGAGGGTGGAGCGGAGTGAAGGCCCCGTGGCCAGCCTCTGTTGTACTCCCTGCAGCAGTGGGAACTGGAAAGCGCCATGTACTGATAAACTGCAGAGCAGCTGCCAAACAAGCAAACTGGATGTATGTGTTTAAAAGAAAAGCGAGAGGAGTTCACACCCATCAATAACAAAGTGTGTGTGACTGGAGCCACTCAAGCTCCATAGGCACAGAGGGGGAAAAAACATTGTAACTTGTCTTACTGTGAAAAGGCCTGAACAGATACAAGGGCCTCCTACAAGGTCAGCAGACCTGGGAACAACACTGATTTATGAGACTTGAGAGTGGGAGAAAAGGCTCTGGCCTTGTGTAGGAGGATTAAGAAAACAGCACTGATGAACCTCTAATCAGGAATGACTACCCTTGAAGTCTGGTACATCCTGACAACACATGGACATCACAGAATCATAGAATCAGCTAGCTTGGGAAAGACCTTTAAGATCATCAAGTCCAACTGTTGCCCCAGGACTGCCATGTCTACCACTAAACCATGTTAACTACAGGTCTCATCTACATGGTTATTGAATACTTCCAGGGACAGTGATTCCACCACTTCCATGGGCAGCCTGTTCCAATACCTGATCACCGTTTTGGTGAAAAATTCTTTCCTAATACCCAATCTAAGCCTCCCCTCATGCAGCTTGAGTTTGTTACCTCTTGTCCTATCACTTGTTACTTGGGAAATGAGACCATCTGCCTCTCCTCTCTGCCCTCCCTTTCAGGTAGCTGTAGAGAGCAATAATGTCCCCCCAACCGACTCTTCTCCAGACTAAACAACCCCAGTTCCCTCAACCGTTCCTCATAAGACTTGTGCTCCAGACCCTTCACCAGCTTTGCTGCCCTTCTCTGGACCCACTCTGGCACCTCATTATCTCTCTTTTAGTGAGAGACCACCAGTGCCGACTATAGCGGGATTATTACTTCCCTAATCCTGCTGGCCATGCTATTTCTGACACAAACTGGGATGCTGTTGGTCTTCTTGGCTGCCTGGGCACACTGCTGGCTCTTCATATGTAGAAAAAAATGATTAGGGTGAATTATCCTCATTAGACGAACTATCCTCATTAGACGAACTATCCTCATTATACTCTCATTATAATACTAAAAAAATCACACCCACAGGTCAAAAGGCCCTACTCAGGTCAAAGACCTTTCCCTGACCATGTGTCTTCACCCCACATAGGGACACCTAGTGGGTAAGAACTATAACGTCCTTAATAATTAACTTTAGCTGGCTTTTGCGTAAGTTATTTCACACTTGTTCTTGCAGTTAGTGTACTGCCAACTACAATATTTGAACCTTAATCAGTTACAAATTTGTATAATAAAAATTCTCAGCTGAGATCTATTTTGTGTGAGCTTCTGTGAACTTAAGAAATTAACTTGACGGGTGAATCTGTTACCTTGAATCCCCAAGCAGGACAGTTGAATCACCCTCCGATACAGTGTGCTGTCCAGTGGAGCACCTGCAGAGGGCTCTGACAGGCTAATCAGGCTCAAGGGTCTCATCTTTCCTGGGACCTTGACAGACCCATTGAACATAAAGGTCTGGGGTAAAATCCCCCTTTAATGTGACACACAGTGACCAGCATAACCATTAGTATGCAAATGTTAAAAATTATCCCTAACAAAATAAACCATGTATTTCTTTGATGTCCCATTTTATTTTAAGTTCACCTTTTACAAAATTTGAAAGAATAACACTTAAACAATGCTTTTTCAAGATGCATTCCTCTCACAACTTCGTGTTATGACTAATATACAACTGGAGTGTAAAGTAGTGTTACCATGACTACTATAAATCCCTCTGAATTGGGAAAGAAAAAAAAAAAAGAAAAAAAAAAAAAAGGCAAAATTGCAACATTACCCTCCACGTGCCAAAAAAAGCTGTAAACCAAAAGGAACTGGCTAATCACATATAACACATATACAATGAGCTTCCCCCCGTCCATCAAAGATGAACAGCACTACTTCAGTAGAGAGACTGTTTTAAACGGAGTTGAAAGAAGAGCTGGTAAGGTGAACAGTAAATATTAGCCACTTTAATAGTTAGCTTTCCAGCAGTATTAATCCAGTTTGTTCATTACTAAGCACTGATTGTGACCCTGGAAGCAAAGATTTTCTAACTACAACCAGCGAAATAGTTGCCGTGGACTCAGCATTCTCCCAGGACTATGAAAAGGTATTTATGTTACTATAGCCATTGTTACATTCTTAATTTTTCTTACCTGCAATGATTTGTTTGAGGTAAACATGTTGTCCCATGGGAACACGGAGATGTGTGCTCTCAGGCAACAGTAAGCAGAAGAGCTTGGTGTCATGGGTAACTTCTGTCTTTGAAACCAGCTTACATTTTCTGTAGAACAGTCCTAAAAACATTGTTTTACTTGTTACTTAAGTCTCAATCCATCTTTACATCAATGCATCTTTTAGTAAGAGATGGAGAATGGTATATACTTCACTACAGAGAATTATAAAAACAATATAAACAGATGCTTCTTGTATAATTACTTATAATTATTTTTCTTATTTTGGACTAAGGACTCATTTATAACCTTACATTAGGTTTGTAACAAACCAAATCTGTGAGTTATCAGCATTGATTGGGAAGGAGTAGGAAACCACCAAATACTAGCAGAAAACAGAAACCCTTTTACTACACTTCATCTGCACTAAATTCACCATACAACTGCAGCATGAATACACATATGCAGGCTAAAACCAGCTTGGGTAATGCAAATGAAACATGAGCTAGGCACAGCACCGCAGTCCTCAGTAACAGACCAGAAATTTATCGGCCTGACCACCCCACACTGTTGCACTTTCACTGCTGTTAGCACAATGAGAATTTCTGATACAGCTTTGCAAGTTCAGGTACACAATACCAATCCTGAAATGCTTACACACGATATAAAACAAAACTAACATCTGTGCCTACACAGGCAACACACACTTAGCATTATCAATAAGTCTTCTAGACATGAATTGGTGCCTTTTGGCTAGGTAGAAATTATCAACTCCAGTTATATGATCACATGCTTACTTAAATCAAATACAAGATCATATATACAGCACAAATTTTTGTTGATACAACAGTTTTGGAGTTGGGGATGTAGCTTTCAAATACAATGATTTTCAACCTGTGCATCAATTAAACGCCAGGCAAAAGGTAACTGAAAAAAATAAATCAATAATAATAATTATAATTATAAAGAAAAAAATCACTATGAAGGGTCTGCATTTCCACAGAAAATTTTCAAGAAAATGAGAAAGAAATCAGAGAAAGAACATAGCTAATCAGAATAACTATAAAAAACCCCAAACAAACAAACCCTTATATATTCCTATTAGTGATGGAGATTAAAACCAAAAAAGTACTATGGGAAAAGGGAAGGAACACCCTGGAATATTTAGCTTTGTTCAAGGACAAAGGGGAAAAGCTGTAACAGTTTCACCAATACCTAATGGAAGTTTAATTTGTTTTCTCTATACCTGCAATAAGTTCAGAGCAAGATAAGCCATTTATTCTAACTCTGCTACTACAGGAGCAATAATGCATCACTTATACTGGAAATGATCTCTGTGGCAAAGCACTCAGTGTAAGGGTGGCCAGACCTACACCGGTTTTAACTAAGCAGCCATCCTGAGCTATGTAATCTGCATCATTACATCACTTCATAGTCTAAGACAGAATTTGAAAACACATCAAAATAGAAGGCTATGCCCTGCTGCTTAGAGCCAGAAACTGCAGAACATAAGTAGGCGTAAAGTAGCAAGGAATAAGTACTTCAAAGAACAAGGGGCACAGATGCAAAACCAACCACTTGGTAGCTTTTGTTCTAAAAAGAAACATACTTACAAAAGCTAATTTAACAAATGCCAAATATAGGAAGGTATTCCTCAACTCCCAAGTATAATATTCTATTAACTGACACCAGCCTTTTGCCATTGCCACAATAGGTTAGTATTTGACTACTCAGGAATAAGTAGCAGAGTTCTTTGGCTCATTTTTTGGCAACTGCTCCAGCCATGCCACCCAAGCTGCAGAACGCAAAGGCAGGGACTAGGTGCAAGGACAACCACCTGCTGTAGGAGAAGAGTAGGTTTGAGACCATCTAAGGAACCTGAAGGTGCACAAGTCCATGTGACCTGATGAGATGCATCCGTGGGTTCTGAGGGAACTTTCCTAAGCCATAACCATCATACTTGATAAGTCTTCACAGTCCACTGAAGTTCCCATGGACTAGAATCGGGAAGACAGCCCCCATTTTTGAAAAGAGAAAAAAGGAAGAGCTGGGGAACTACAGGCCAGTCACTTCCATCTCTGTGCCTGGCAAGATCATGCATCACACCCTATTAAAAACTATGCTAAGGCACATGAACAACAAGGAGGTGATTGGTGACAGCAAATACGGCTTCACTTATGGCAAATTGTGCCTGACAAATTTGGTGGGTAGCCTTCTATGATGGGGTTACAGCATTGATGGATAAGGGACAAGCAAGTGACATCTACCCACACTTGTGCAAAGCATCTGATACTCTCCTGCATGACATCCTTATTTCTAAACTGGAGAGATGTGGATTTTATTTTTGATGGGGCTTTGAGGAAGCTGGTCTAGTGGAGGGTGTCCCTGCCCGGGGCAGGGGGGTTGGAACTAAATGAGCTTTAAGGTCCCTTCCAACCCAAACCATTCTGTCATTCTGTATGTATCCCAACTTTCCTAAAATAAGAATTGCTACATAAGGCAAGTGACAGCATACTGTAGAAAACAAGATACAAAACTGGAAGTGTAAACTGAAGATGACCAGAAATAATTCTTCCTATTCTACCTTTAGAAGAGCATTTTTCAGCTAAGTCTTTGTATAATAATAAGCCTCAGTATTTCAGCTCTAACCTGAAATATCAATGTGATGACAGTACCATTCTGCCTAAACAGGTCAGGAAGTTTCATAGGCTATACTGATAGTGGAAGCTCAGCCAGCAATGAAATAAATAAATAAATAAAAGCAAACACAATCTCTTAAGTAGCACTATCTAAACTTTATGCTTCCAAACCAAGCAGCCTCTTCCCTACCCTAATCCTACCATGTCATCTGCCATTTTCAATGCAAAATTTGTAACCATTCCTAGTAAATATTTTCAGGTAAAGCCTTTCAAAATTTGATAGGTTCAAATATGACAATACTTGAGCATGACACCCTTTTAACAACATTTTCTGCATTGAAGCAATTTCACTGAAGTGACATTTCTTCTCCACTCTTTTTCTCATTACTGAAATACACTGAAGTCACCAGCATCAATAGCTGAGCTACTCATGAAACAGGATGAGATGCAAAGGACACAAACTGCAACTCAGGAAATTCCACCTAGGCATCACCATGAGGGTGGTGTGGTCAAAGACTGGGGCAGGCTGCCCAGAGCCTGTGTCCTTGGAGATATTCAAACCTTGACTGGACAGCTTTGATCAGGAGGTTAAACTACATGACTTCCAAAGGTCACTTTCAACTAAGTTAGACTATGATTCTACTATTTCTTCAGGTTTTAATAGTTACAAGTAAAAGTACCTTAACATTTTGTATTTTTGCCACTGCAATAGCAGATGCTTCTTTACTTCCTGACTTAAATCACATGCTGATTCTCTTTTGAATAGGAATGGAATTTATTAGAGAGTATCTGTAATAAGTGTACATCATTTGTAGACAGCCTAAATCCTGAAGTCAGCCAGAATTCTTCCTCAACAACTTTTTTTAAGTGAGTCTTGCCTGACAGAGGGCTTATGCAAGTTTATAGTGAACGCAAGACAAAATGTAAATGAAACTGGGCATTGCTGCAGCTCAACTGACCGCTACCACTGCCTCCTTGATCTCTTCCCTCCAACAGCACCACTAAAGGGAACCCCAATTCAGTAAAGCTGGATGAACTTCATTTTTGACTAGGACTACAGTACAAGAACAGACAGCAATTGCTGGACTCTAAGAAACCAAAACAAAAGCAGCTTGAGAGGGTCTCAGTAAGCTAGCCCATCCACTCTCCTTCCTCAGTGGAGAAAGCCCTGCTTTGAGTATTTCAGTAGCTTCATCTAATGAAGTGCCATTTTCTAAGTAACTTACCTGTACTGCAGTTCCTTAATGCAGCATTACTATCCCAAACATTTTGCTGTTCCCAGATATTCTGGATTAAACACACAGCCAAAGAGTTGAAGGCAGCTGGGGATTAGTTAGAGGGCTCTGTGACAGTGCAATCAATTGCTGCCTGAAGGAATGGCCATTGCTGTTAACACTCTGTTCATAGAACCATAGAATCATAGAATAGTCAGGGTTGGAAAGGACCTTAAGATCATCCAGTTCCAACCACCCTGCCATGAGCAGGGACACCTTGCACTATAACCATGTTGCCCAAGGCTCTGTCCAACCTGGCCTTGAACACCGCCAGGGTTGCAGAATTCACAACCTCCTTGGGCAACCTATTCCAGTGCCTCATCACCCTCACTGTGAAGAACTTCTTCCTTATTTCTAATCTAAACTTCCCCCGTTTAAGTTTAAAGCCATTACCCCTTGTCCTACCAATACAGTCCCTAATGAAGAGTCCCTCCCCAGCATCCTTGTAGGCCCCCTTCAGATACTGGAAGGCTGCTGTGAGGTCTCCACGCAGTCTTCTCTTCTCCAGGCTGAACAGCCCCAACTTTCTCAGCCTGTCTTCATACAGGAGGTGCTCCAGCCCCCTGATCATCCTCGTGGCCCTCCTCTGGACTTGCTCCAACAGCTCCATGTCCTTCTTATGTTGAGGACACCAGAACTGCACACAGTACTCCAAGTGGGGTCTCACGAGAGCAGAGTAGAGGGGCAGGATCACCTCCTTTGACCTGCTGGTCACGCTTCTTTTGATGCAACCCAGCAGCTCTCCGGATAGATGGATAGATAGATAAAAAAAGAAAAGTATAAGAATATGCTAGGATTGATGTCAATTTTGCAGACTTAAGAACTACTTGAAAGGATTTGTGAGGTTGGTAATATAGTTCACAATACTGGACAGCTGATACTTTTCCAGATGTTTGGGAGTGGAGAGAGAAATTAAACTGATTCATCACCTGATTCACTGTTTCCCGACAATTTTCTGACCTTTCCAACCTAACAAATTCCCACATGTAACGAACTAACCTTTACTTCCCCCTTTTTCTTTTTAATTTGCCATTTAGAACTTTCGTGCCAATTCAATCCATTTGATTTTTGAAGACAGACACCTTTCTAGCTGTAAGCAAATTCCTAGTTTAAGTTATCCTCTTTGCTGTATTAACTAAAATTAGCTCATTATCAGTGGTCCAATAAAATCTGGAGCTGTAAGCACAAGAACTGGCAATGCAGAAAAGCCTTTCAACAAGAAGACACCACCCTCTAGTAGCAAGCTGAAGGAAAACAGTTGCTTTCAAGAACCTATAAAGCCAAGTTAATTATCAGATGCCAAAGACATACAATTCACTACTCTACATAAACAAAAGCCACTGCTCCCTCAAATCTGGAGAATGATGCAAGTGCCCAGCAACAAATCCTGATTGTCAAAGTATAGAAAGTAATTAATGAGGAGATTAGGTTTGATCAAACTTTCTGTAGACATCAAATATGAATATCACAGCTCCTGATCTCTTCTTAGAGCAACCACTGCTACCAAAATCTTGCTATGCAAACCCAATGCAATCACAGGCTAGAGACATCACTTTCTAAACAGAATTTCCTCCTCTGCTGCAATCAAGAGATACAGCACTTTGATATGCAGAATCACAGAACAGTTTGGGTTGGAAGGGACCTCCAAAGGTCATCTAGTCCAAATCTCCTGCAATGAGTTACCTTTTGGAGAATATAATCCTTTTGCCTACTGTGTTCTTCTTCATGTACATGCAATGTTTTCTTATTCAGAGCAAGAATTCTTTCAAGGGACATCAGAGGCAGATTTGTACTCAGCAATGAAGTTTTATTTAAATGCTCAGTGGTGAAAGTCTTGATTATAATTTGGCAGAATTCAGTTTTTCCACAAAAACACTACCACATTGGAAAAAAAGAAAAAAATCAAAGTAAAAAGATCCATTTTACCAACTACAATGAACAAAGCTGAAATTCAAGTTTGGGAGGGGGCTTTTTGAAGGGGGCTGTTGTTTGGTTTTGGTTGGTTTGGTTTTTTTTTTTCTTTTCCAGTTGCTGTCTTTTGAAACAATCTTTGATAAAATGCAGATCTATGTAACACTATTACAGTGCTTGCCTGTAACATCCAAGACTTCACTGCAATTTCACCTTGATACAGAAGCATGATATGCAGCATTGATCACAACCTATCCCCTCATGAGTGAGCTTCCACACCTTACTTCCCAGAAAAGGCACCTACAAGAAAATCATGTCTTAATACCTATGAGAAAAACTGTACTATATCACTGCACTGTGGGTTTTGTTTGTTTGGTGTTTGTTTAAACGAGAAAGTTCTACCTTCCTTTTTTAATATTGCATTTAAATTTCACAGGATGCTGGCACTAAGACCATTAGCTTTTGTTTATGCTTCCTAATGACAAGTTCCATAATAGCCAGCTAAGAGTAATGTCACCAGCTTCCCTACACTGACAATCTAATTATACTGAATTGTGCTTTCAATTAAATACTGTTGGGTATAAATAATTACTAAGAACTTAATCTAACTAAGCACTTAATCCTTCTTAAGGAGCAGAAACAGTATTGAATAGTCTTCTGAATCTACTGACAGATCCTAAGATATCGTGTAGCTCCTGAAACTACATTAATATTTGTTTTAAAATTCCCCTCAACTTTGAAGAAATTCCACAACTTTGTTCTTTACTCCCAGTTAACTAACACATACGATGGCCAAAACGTTAGTCTAAACTCAGCAGGAGTTTGAGAGCCATTAGGCAATTTAAGCTGGGAAAGCCATACTCACAGATAAGGGGGAAAAAGGGAGTTATGCTGTTTCTCCACAGCATGAAGTTATCACAGGCTTGCAGTATCACCACTGCATTATACTACTACCTCTGAAGAAGAGCTTAACCTCCTTTTTGTAGAATTTAGAACTGGCCACTGGCAAAATTAAAGTATAGGGGTTGGAAGAGTTGTGGTGGTCACCCCCTCACACCATGAGTCACAAACTCATTCATGAATGCTGTCATGTGAACACGTAGTAACATAAAATCAAGTGAAGCTTTCAAGTGTCAGTCCTGCCCGGTTTTTAGCCCTTCTGCCTGTGCTTTAAATACAATGGAAATGTTTGAAATTATCCATAAACAAGAAAATACTACAGAAAAACACAAAGATAAGAAAAACCCAAGGAATTAAACATCAGTGCTCCCATAAGCACTTACTGTTCACAGCCTCAGAATAATCCTGCCACCAAACTGGAAGTGTGGAAATATTCTGAGTAAAATTATTACTTCTATTAGAAAGTATTGAAGTATCAGTAATTTACCAGAAGAACTACAAACATACAAAACCTGAACTAAATAAATAAAATCAGATATAACAAGATAACATTGATTTCAAATCTGTTCCCAGATTTTCAGAAGTGGAAATTATCAGTTATAGTGTCTTAAAACAAGACTCTCACATTCATCAGAAAGAAAAGGTAATGCTGAGATTAAGCAGCGGAAGATATATAAATCCAAGTGGAAAAAAGAACAGAATATTTAAGGCAAGACATCTATTCTACCCTATATGTAGTGGTACATAGGAATACCAGATATTAAGCTATTTTATTAGCTTTAAGTAGCCAGTTTAGGTCTTGGAAGCAAAACAGCTCTCACAAGGAACTACTTCAACACTGGTACTGCTTCTGCTGATCGCACTCAAATCCCAATATAGCTTATGCCAGCTGTTCCACCTGCTCTTTCCAGCCGTGATAAAATTACTTAGCAGGCTGGAAGTCCTGATTATATTATTCCCAGCATAAAGTAATTTTGCTTCAGAAAAAGCAGTTTTGCATACAAAACCAAAAGCACACCCAATAAAGACAAGGAAATTTGTTAATTGTTATTTCTGTACTCACACCGTGCAAGGTGTGAGTTTCTTCACCCGTGACATTATTTGGCTCCCACAGAACTGGAAGCAAAATTAAAAATGTTGCAATTTGGAGTAAAAGGGAGTATAATTCTAAGCTGAAACAGAAAGTGACTACTTCAGACTGAGTGAACAGAAGCTTCCAATATATAGATTTTATGGCTGAGTTGAAAGCACAGCGTTGGAATAAAGGACAGACATCTAGGCCTGAACATTCCTCCTCTATAAACCTTCTGGCATGTTCCATTTTAAAATTGGAGTTTTAAAATTAAAAAACCCTGCAGAATAAAAGTTTGTGGAGTAAGGATTAAAAAGCCATAGATATCAATATTTGCTAGATTTGCCACCTTGGTAATCAGGCAACTGAAGAAACATAGCCTCCGCAGCCCTTTAACTTAAGTTTTCTGAAGATTCAATTTAAACTGATCTGAACTCATCAGTGATACATAATAAAGTCATCCAACACCTGTAACATTTCTCTGTATAACAGGACAAATGCTATTTTGGGGTCTGACTTCTTAGGGAAAAAAAACCTAGAACAATCATCTAGGAAGCACTGGTTACTAATGCTCAATCTGGATTTTTGATAACTGCATCAAATCATCCTTGCCTTCTTCATTTCCAAAGGATCCATAAAGCCACTATATTCTACATCTCTTGTTCTGCCTTATTTTCTCATTTTGTTTTTCATAATCATGGAAAGTGGCAAGAAAGGAGAAAATCAGCAATGGACAGTGGATAACATACTATTCCAGGCTGTATCCCTTTAAATACAGAGAATTATATTGAAATACCTGATCTTAAAGCGGATGACGTAACAGTTTCTAAAACTGTCAGAAGGAAAATTACATTCTACATAAGCTAAAGGGAGCTAATGAGAGATGCTTTATGCAGTTGGTCTTCCTTTTTGTACCACAGTAATCTGTCAACTTTAAAGGCCTAAGTAGCACAACTGAGAGCCAGTAAGAGGTGTACAACACAGTGATCAACATTTAATTAGCTCTTAAAAGTGTACAGCTTTGCTTTCACACATAATAAGGCACACTAATACCAGTCAATTTTTGAGCAATGTCAGACAGAAGGACAAGGGGGGTTTTGAGAAACTGGACAGCTGCAGTATATGAGCATGCTCCTCATGTTGTGTAATGTAACTGTGCAGAAATTTCAAATATAGCTATAAAAAAACCCCATCACACTGATCAGGGTAATACGCTTCAGTGCTACATCAAGTTCATACTATTCTGTTACCACAAATGAACTCATACAACTACTGCTTCTTGCAGACACATCAGCTTATTCAGGGCTGGCTTCGATATCTACACATGGCTTGAAGTCCCTAAATAATCACATCTCAAGTTACAAAGATTCAGTGTGCTGGAACAACATTACTACAGATGTAGTAAAGCTGAAAGTAGAGTTCTTTGTTCCTTCACTACAGTTACTCCTATGATTGACACAAGTCCATGCACTGTCTCCTCAGGGTCTACTGAGGTTTTCATATGGAAAGAATATAAGGCACACAGGTAGCCATGAGGCAGAAAAATGCTCAAGCAGTCTTCACCTTCCTCTATTAGGGTTCTTCCAGTATTTCGGCAAGCCTGGAAGACCTCCCATCCCACTGCAGGACAAAACTAGCCAGCAAACCAAAGCAAAGCAAAAAAACCACCTCTAAGCTGAACCCTTTCAAGGAGAATTCCCGAGCATCTTTTTAACGAGACCAGATAACATTCTTGAAATGCAGGTGTGACTACAGACCAAGAAAATCCTGGGAGATACCAAACGTGATTAACAAGCTCAAAAAAGTCTTACAATGGCTGGTAACATGGCCATGAAACTGCTTACCTCTGTCCATACGTTTCATAAATGTATTATGACTCTCCAAGGGCTGTCCCAGAATTTTCCAGTGAACGTTATCCTTTTTCTTTAAGATAATCTCTACTTTCCCAACTTTTTCAGCAATATTTACTAAAAATCAAAAGGTTTCATGTTACTTTTAATTACACTTTGTACAAAAAATATTCTACTCCTCCATTATAATTACATTTTAGAAGAATTAGTCATTTCTCAAGACACATGGAATTAATCTGTTACATTATTATATCAAATTAAATATACTTTCAGCTATCTCTCTATAACATTTTCCAGTGCATTTAAACCAAGAAGCACTAACTTAATATGCATAATTAATGTATTTTATTTACTAAATACATTGTGAAAAGCTCCACAGCCCATGAGGTTAAAAAGAATGCTCATGAATTCAGAGTCCTCATTTCCATGAAATTGGTAACTACCACTATTCACTAGTACCTTTCTTTTCAAGGCCATTTGAGTAATAAAATGCTAGAAAATCCCAGACTAAGCAAAGAAGAGTTTAAAAATACACAACAGAACTAACTTTTAATTATTTTAACATGTAGTCATACTCAGAGGAACCAAAGCACCACTAATTTATTACTTCCACAGGCCCAAATGCCACAACTAAAGAAAAAAAAAAAAAAATCAATGTTTTGGTTTGATTTGTGTCAGAAGCTGGTGGTAATCAAAACTGTAAAGTGTCTGCCAAGCCAGAAAAATAAACTGAAATTCCACATTCTGATATTAGAAGAGATACACAAGTGCTGCAAGAGATGGCACTTACCGGCCATGTCTTCTTGAACAGCATGATACAAGTCTGAAATAAAAGAGAAATAAACTCCATGTTAAGCAAAACCAAAATTACATTCTAGCAGTCAAATATATACACAGTTTAAGACTAGGAGTGAACTAATCTGCCTAGAACTCTGTGCATCTTTATCCGGTCTTGAAATTTCACTTGTGACTTCTGCAGGCCTAATACATAACCTTAAGAAAGGCATCATTATTTCTCCCATTACTTTCAACAATGACTCATGTAAAGCCACCAATCTGCATTTATCTACAGCATTCCACTTGAATAAGGGCATTTTAATACCTATCAAAAATACACTTGAAGAAAAATTCTACACAACTTTTACATCAATTTCTTACTACACTTTATTCCACATGTAAAAGATTCTGTCCATACTAAACAAACGAAGATGTGAGTTGATAAACAATGCAATTCCTTTACATCAAGGTGCTTTAAATTAATCATCTTTAATGAAAGTAAAACATTAAATGGTATCTGTAAAAAGCATAAGGTCTAATGAGAGGTTTTAATAAAGCAGAATGAAAATGTAGTACTTTCAAACTGCAAAATTACAGTACCTACCAACTTCTAAAAGATACGAGTAATCATCCACGATTATCTCTCCCCTTAATCGTTTGTCCTCACAGTCAAGTATCACCAACTCTGCATTCATATCCTTTTACAGACAAGGAAAAAACATTTTAATAAAGTTCTCCCAGAATTCAAGCTGGATCACAAACGGATCTTGTAATTCTCCCTTTCATAAAATACACTTACCTTCTGCTTAGTATATATGACAATGGTGATCAAACTATCTGTTTGGAACCAGTCATAACTGTAAAACAAGAAATACAGTAAAGAAAACAATATATACTTTCTTTGGATACACCAAAATATATTTAACTAGCAGTTTTTAAGTAGAGCTTTAATGAATTTACAAGCCAAATACATTATTTACTTTTTTTTTTTAATAGATAAGTCCAGAGCCAATGATTTTGAAAACACTATTAAAATAACAGCAGTCTAATTAAGCACGTTGACATTTAGCACGTTGTAGCTAAAATTATATGGTGCTAGTTTTACTTAAAAAGCACCTGCATCCTCCTTGCAGAACAGGAACCTTACTAACATAATGATTAAAATCTTGACTCCAGACAAAAGTAATATATAGCCAGGGTGGTTTCCAAGAATTATAGATTGCATGCACATACCACAAAACCACAGTTCCTTTCATCTCCCCAAATCATGATTTTACATTCCTATGTTCTCAAGCTACCCAAACCTTGCAATTAATCCAGGGGAAGGTATGAAACCAAAAGCCTTCAAATGATAATTGTTCATATGAACTTATACTTGCCAAGAAGTAACTTACCTGCCTAACCCAGAAAAGCTATTCCCTTCTCTACCCATTTTCACGGGGACCATATATCTGACAATCTCATGCCTGGCTCTCCACCACAGACATCTATAGTTCTCACTTAACTTCTATATGGGTTGCAATCCCAGTCACTGAAAGTCAGCTCCACCCCCACAACAAAGTTAACCCCTCACACCCACCTTACTACCATCTTCTCCCCTCCCCAACATCTTAATCACTTCCATCTACTGTTTGGACTGCTGGACCAGAAAAAAAGGCAGAGAAAGGGGATGTCCCTTCCAGCAGACACTCCTGACAGCCAGCACATTCTAGGCTGCACACGTTCCAGTCACACACCAGAACATGCTAGACACACAGGAAGAAAGGCAGCAAAGTTTGGGGATCACTTCAGAAGATAAGCCACATTCCAGTTGTTCACAATCCACAATATTTTGTATGATTGCATGTAGTTAGCCCAGAAATTACACATTCACAGGACATTCTTATGCAAAGTGAGAAACTGAATTCTGGTGACTCAAGGCATCATGAAGCAAAACAGTATCTCAGTGACAACAGCAGGCATATCACGGTGGGGTTTTAGTGCCTGCTTCGCTTTGCATATTGTAAAAACTTGAATACAGCTATCATATCTTAGTATACTTCAGCTTGAAACCAAGCACTTTTCCAAAGCATGCCAACTCATACATTTATGGACATATCAACTAAAGTCAAAGAAATAAGCAGGCCAGTTGGAATCATTTTGTAGGAGCCTTCTCAAGAAGCAAGGCTGAAAAGCCTGCAAATATAAGCCATACATTTGTTTATGAAGAGAGGCAGTGCGAGCATTAGAAACCAACAGAGCAAGCAAAGAACCTTGCATCATCCTCTGCCTATATTGTCAATACGACCTTTGGCAAGTTGTTTAAACCTGAACCTCAGCTTTCATACTTATAATAGGCTGCTAATGATATACGCTCATTTAGCTGTAACATCAAGAGCTAACCATGGAGGAAGTTGCCTGCATTTTCTAAGAACTGCACAGAACTATTAAATAGAACGTTTACAGACAACGGAAGACAAAAGTTTACCTTGGAGTTAAATCTTTAGAAGAAGCACTCAGTACTTTCTTCTCAGGAAGCATACCTAGAGTGAGCAGAGAGTCATTAAAATATTTACTGTGATGCCTGCTTAATAGAAATCAGAATCAGAGATATTTTGGGGTTTAGACCCTGAATGTTCTAAATACCCCTCCATGATACTTAGTGGCTTCATTTCCACAGGCAGCCAGAAGTATCCATGTACTTTTTAAGTTTTATTTTTATTCAGCACTTTCTTTTGGAGAGTAGGCTCCTAGAACATGAAGTTCTACTTCAGAAATTAAGAGTTCCATATATGGCAGAACCTGTGCATGCAACCCTTCCAGTACATGCAGCTTGATCTCAGTTTCATCTGTTACCAGCTTGTGCTTTCACATTTTGTGATAATGAAGCATGGAAGAAAGGTTATTGGAATGAATCTCCTTTAAGATAAGTATTTGTTTATTCAATTCAGATGAACAAATTCAACTTGGGACATCTGGTCTAACCTAATTCACAAGTCCAATTTCACATCAGTCAGTTAAGTGAAGCTATTAGCCTTAATCTGCTTTGCACTTCTCTAGGAATTTTCACAGAATTCAGTTACTCACTTTAATAATTAACCAACGTGAAACAGTCTGAAAAAGCCTTTGTGGGAGGCAACACTTGGTCAGTCTTTGAAAACGCCAGCTGTACTAATCTTTGGCCTAACAGAAGATGAATGTATTTGGCAAAAACTTGAGCAGAGATGACTGATAAAACTGCTGATGGATTGCATTTGCTTTCAAAACAAAGTACTTATATAGAATCATAATGGAGAAAGCTGCACAGACAGAAATATAGTATGATTTGTAACACCACATGAACAGCAGGAGTTTTCCTGCACAATGGTTAGGCAGAGGTCTCAGGTAACAGTTGGTAAATTCTAGTTTCAAGGCAACTCAAAGGTAAACCTTGCAAACATGAAATGGCTATCATCAAATAATGTATGAATTCTCAGTTACCTAAGTTATCTTCTTCTAAATGCCAGTAAGTTTTGTAGTTTGAGTACAAGCTTAAACACAATAATTGAGTGGCTCCACCATGTGGGAAGTAGATAAAACACAGAGAGCCGCTCAAGTCTAATCCAATCTGTCAAACCTATTTGATCATCCAGATGGGGGAATTAACCCAAAGCCGTTAACACTCGCTGGAATTACTTGTTCTTTGATCCTTAATTACCTCTAAGTACACAACCATCTGCAGCTGCCAAGGAAGCTAAATGGCACAGCAGTCTGATCACTGCAAAAGAAAACCAATCACCTAATGAAAAAGCCTTCTCAAAGGCTAAGCCCTTCTTGAGGACAGCTGGAGAGGGACTTTTTACAACAGCATGTAGTGATAGGACAGAGGAAAATGGCCTTAAACTGAAAGAGGGTAGATTTAGATCAGATATTAGGAAAAAATCTTCCCTGTGTGAGGGTAGTGCAACACTGGCACACGTTGACCAGAGAAACTGTGGCTGCCCCATCCCTGGCAGTGTTCAAGGCCAGGCTGGACAGGGCTTTGAGCAACCTGGTCTAGTGGAAGGTGTCCCTGCCTGTGGCAGGGGTTGGAACTAGATGATCCCTTCCAACCCAAACCATTCCAATTCTATGGCATATATCATATGCTTAGATTGGCCTCCATGTGTAAGAGGAATTCATGGTCATACATGCTCCTTCTAGATTTTGCAGGTCAACAGAAGTATGTGAACAACCACAATAAAATAGAGCTTTCTGGCAAACCAAGTTATTTATGAATTATTCTGCAATGCTGTATGATGTTACGTGAAAACAAGAAGTCACACTGCAATAAAAAGACTATTTCTATGATTCAGGTGATCAATAAAACAATTAAGCAAAGTACTCTACTGGTCATGGTGGTCACAAATAAAGAAAAGCTGGTGGTGAAGTCAAAGGCTAACAGCAGACATGAAATGAAGGTGTTTAAGGTGACCAGGATGAATTGCAGAATTACAGCTCTGCATCTCATGACAGCAAACTTCACCTTGTTCTGGGAACTGCTTTGCAGAATCCCATGGGAAAGCAAGGCTAGTGATAAGAGTTTCTCACATTATCTTCATAGCCACACTGGACAGAGCTGGGCTTGATAGGTGGATTACAATCTGGATAGAAAATTAGTAGGAGCACCAGTCACAAAAGGTGTGATCAGTAGTCCAAAGTCCAACTGGTGGCTAGTTACAGGTGGTATTCCCTAAGAACAGGGAATGCCAACAGTGTTTCAATACTGTTTTACAGTGTCATTAGGAACCTGAAGGGGAGGGAGGGAAAGGAGAGAAGGGTAGGAAGGGAGAGAGGGAGGGGGGGAAAGAGGGATGACAAAACATAAGAAGCAGTCGAAACGCAAAAGGTTATCGCTGACATCCAAAGGCATGCAGGCCGACTGAAGAAACAGGCTGACATAAGTTCCATGAAGCTCAAAAGCAATGCAAAATTTTGCACCAGCGAAAAAAAACCAAACAAAATCTGATGCAACAAAACAAGCAGGAGGCCTGACTAGATAGAAAGGAGCTTTGCAGAAAATCTTCCAGGAACTTAGACAAGCCAAACTTGGGCAGGTAACTGCACCCTTGTAGTGATGGCGGCCAACTTTATCCTGGGCAAGAGCACAGCCGTCAGTTCAAGGGAAGCAATTCTTCCTCTCTATTCAGTATTTGTGAGACCACATCTGGAGTACTGTGTCCAATTGTGGCTCCCCAGTGCAGGACAGACACTGATATACCAGATCAAGTCCAGAGAAAGGTGAACAAAGTGGTCAGCAGCTGGAGCAGCACAGCATATGTGAAAGCACAATGAGGGAACTGTGGGTGTTCAGTCTGCAGAGAAAAGGCTAGGGAGGAAACCCAACTACAGTCTTCAACTACATAAAGAGAAGGGGGTGGGAGACAAGGAAAGATAGAGAAGACAGCCAGATGCTTCTCAAGAGAGGGATAAGAGGCAATAGACAAGTTGCAGTGAAAATTGGTGGAGAGGAGAAAAACCAAAATACCACACCTAGTCTTCTCGCCTCTTCTCATGAAGGTTGGATTGCTTATAAGCAGTATCATCTACCACCTAGCTTTGAGCAGGAGACTAGACAGAATAAGCTACAGATGTTTCTTCCAACCTAAACCATTTTGTCTTGACCCTGCTACTTCAACCCTATGGCCATCTAGCTTTTCCAATACAGAGAAGTACTTCCACAGCACACAGTAATTTGTGACCTATCTCAGCTGACTCAAGCAGAAAGCTCATGCACCTCATACCTCCCTTATCTATATATATACTACTCTAGTGCAGCCTTATAATACTTTTAAAGACTGAATTCACAATACCCGATTAGGATTTTGCCTTCCGTAATTTCCACAGATCACTAAAGCCTCAACATCAGATTCAAACATAATGACAGACAGAAGCCTGCACAAACACTGCTCATTCGACAATATTGAACTAAGTTTCAGATTCACTCCCTGCCTCACTTCAAGTGAATACTTACCATTAAGCTTCTGCTTCTCTTCACACACAGAAGTAATCTCTACAAACATTAAGAAAAAACGAGCACCAGAGTAAGAAGTTGCACCACAGTACTTGCACACATCATGCTAAAGAAATAAGCCAAGTAAGAATCTCCAAATAAGCCTTCCAAAACATTAACAGATTGACTAGAATGCTTCATATATATCAAGTAGTTACAAATAAATGCAGCACTGGTTGCCATTCCAAGATGATGTATAATTAAACAAATAGCATGTTAAACATGCCAGAAGTTGCACAGCACTAAAAGGTAGGAAAAGCAAGAACTCCAGCACTTCAAAACAAACATCACAGATTATCTTTTGCAATTGTAAACTTCACAGCTAAGAAGCTCACCAGATCTGTCAGACCTTCAATGACACTTGCATTCTGACAACACGTAGTTGAAACTGAATCTGACTAACCCAATGCTTAGAAACCAAGCTTTTATAAGCTCCTCCTGTCAAATGATTTTATTTGACAAATTACTATCCAAATTTTTCATTACATCCACAGTATGCTGCAGCTATTCCAAACAAACACTAGCAGGAGAAAAAACAAAAACAAAAACCAAAACAAAAACCAACAAAAACCAACAACAAGCAAACAGAAAAAAAAAACAGAAAAACAAACCAGAAACAAAACCAAAACAAAATAAGGACCAGGCAGGTGAATATTACATTGTGTCACTTCATATATAAGGTGCTCAACTTGAGTGTAAAGACGCTGTACCTCTCAGCCACATATCCTTCTGCTCATAGCAAATCCGTGGGGAAACTAAGTCCTCTCTGCATGCATCCAGGCCCCTTTCTGCCTTTTCTCCATTGCACATCTCAATGTCCCAACATAAAGGTGAATTTTGTATTCTCTCCTATGGGAGCCAGGTTTGGGGAAATGGAAGAAACCGCAGTGTGTTCTTCCTGCTCCCTTTTATGAAAACCAAAATGTGAACTTTTCTCCCTTATTCTTCTGAATCTCTTTCAGTGGTCTGCATCACAGCAGCCACTCTGAGAGAAGTGAAGGAAAGGCTCCTGGAACAAAAAACCAACCATACAATACTGCAAAATTACTTCAGAGCTGCCTAAAAATTGCGTTCATTAAAGGCTTTCATGTTGTGCTACTATAAGGTAAAAACAAAACACTCCAAGATGAATGGGATAGTTCACTCAAATGCCTGTGTAGTCTGCAGTACATCACTTCAAGCTTTCTACCGGAATAGGCAAGTCATTCACAAAATCTCATTTCCGATGAAAGGTAATTTTTTGTGTTCAAAAGTCTACTCTCACATCACTACATTTTAACACACTGCACCAAAATTGGCATTGCAATTTTAAGGACAGTTTGAGGCATTTCCAAGACAGAGCCCTATCTCTCTTCCTTGGATGATACCATAGCTCTCAGTTTAACCTCACTGAATTAACAATATTACAGCATGCATTCTGACTCCCAAGTTACATTACCACTGAAGTAACATAGCAACATGTACTAACGTGTCTGAGAAACATTAGCAGTATTAAAAGATACCAGACAACAAACTAATGTCCTTACTAGTGTTTACAGCTGAGCACTCTGAAGGGAAAGCAAGTAACAATGCTGTACAAGTTTGTTGAGGGAGACACTGAAAATATTTCTTACATGCCTGGGTACTGCTGTAGTTACTGCACTGGCCTTCTCAGGAAGTATAAACACTATGCGTTTCAGCGCACAGATCCACTGTAACATCACACAAGGGACAATTCAGGATTTCCTATTAGCCACTAACATGCCACCAGGCAGCATTCCCAAAACACGAGTTGACAAAATATTACCCACAGAAGACTCTTCGTTTTTAAAGAAAAAACAAACTAGAGTACGCAAGGACAAGCTTCAGCTTCCTTAAAACAGTACGGTGAGCAAATAACTGTACCATCTTTCAAAAAAACACCAAAACACAGGGAAGAAAAACTAAGCTAAACAACTAATCTTCCTGTAATTCCCCAACAAACCTACATCTGCCTTACCTGCACTGTATCGAGACTGTATCAAACAGCAAGTACCAATGCTTGCCCTACTGCCAAACGCTCAGCTTCTGCCACAAAAAGAAAGCAATGTATTCCATAATTTGAAGTCCTGTCTTTCCTTGATACTTATGGGCCCATTTAATTCTATATTCAAAAACATGCACCTTACTCAGCATTTCAATCTATTTTCAAATGCAAACTTTGCTGAATATGGTCCAGCTATTGCTGGCTGATAGTGAAGTGAGTTAATCATGCTTTTGACCTCAAAGTAATTGAATTTTACAGTGAAGAATTTCAGCAAATTCAGTCTAATCAGTTTGATTCTTAATGAAATCAGAGTTTTTTCAAGCCTGAAATGGCTAAAAGAGACACAAGCAACAGAACTGATTTTATGGAGTTGGCAACCTGTACCCTTCAAATTTTACTCCAGCAAAATAAATAGAAGAGTCCTATTATGGAGGAAAGCAGAAAATGTACACAAGAAAATAGACTGTCACAGCTGGCAGGAGCAAAGACATGTCTCAAGAATACCTCCTAGTTGCATAAGTCAGGTTTACTTTTAAATTTCTAAACTGAGCTGACAAAGTAGCAGTAACTTATCTGTAACACTGCAACTCCATGAACCAGTTACGTTTTTGAGGTTTCTTCATACTCTGGTGTATTTACCCTAAAAGCTCCACACTGGAAGTAGCTACCTAGTAACACAGAGATGTAAAATATTATTCCCCTTCATGTACAGACCAAACTCAACCTAGCTGTTAGGCGATGTGATAGATGCACTAAGGAAGTATGTGGTGCACCTTGTCAGAAGCTTAAGAGCTACAAGAGATGCTGAATTTGTGAACTAAAAGATGCCATTGAATTTGAGAAAAATAGTTGTAACCATTAATTCCTTCGTGTTTTCACTGCAGTTTTGCTAAGGGTCAATATTCATTAATAGAGTCTGCTTCCTACCCATAAGAAATTTTTGCTGTGGCCTACAAACCATAACAAATACGGAAGATTAAACTCTCTTGAAACTATCATAGGCATTTTAGACAATATACTAAATCTCTTGCTGTCCTGGCTCAGAGGAGTCTGATGTATCAGCAAAATTTTCTCCAAATAAATTCAAATTAAAGATCCAAATAAAGTGTTCTGGAAAGGATAACTGTTCATAAAGTGCATTCAAATATCTCAATACATATGCAACTTGCCAGACACATGTCTGCTGCTGAAATCTCCAGACTGAAAATACTGATGTATTTCAAGATAAGAGAGCTATGACAGTTTGCACCCAGGGATCAGAAGGAGAAATAGGGATGTGGGGGAAAAAACCCCAACAAATTACTTCTATATATACATGCACACAGCACACACACATCTGTTTTCTGACAACTAAAAACAAAGCAAAAATACAGCAGTCTATTACTTAAAAAAGTCTTCATGCACAAAATAGCTTCATCTTCAGGTACGTGCTGTAAAAAGACTGAGTTTTTGCAACAGCCTTCATCTCTATGCCAGAATAGACTCTACTTGTAAATATGATGAGTTAGGATTCCTCATAATTTCCAGATAATTCTTGAATACAGCATAATAAGGATTACCACATTCTCAAAAACCTCACCTTTTGGAGCAGCAATAGGCTTGACAGCCATTCTCCCAACAAGACATTCCTTCAGCATCGATTCATAATTGACCCAGCGATGAACCTATAGTAACAAATTATGTTTTCACAAAATTTGTAGTTCTTACTATGTTGTTCTATGCACAGAAAAATTAATTTTTTCATAGTGGCTGATATAATTAATTTAGCAGGGGGTTTGTTTGTTTGTTTGTTTTAAAAAGACACTCATTATTACGTTGTTTAGTACTTATTTTTACTTCTACTACAGATAGTATGTAATTAAGTGAAAAAAGGAGATAGTTTAACACTACTTATTTTATGCTTTGCAGTGTCTGAATATCATAACTTTGAACTACAGAAAATATTTCAGAAAAGCACTTTTATGATGTATGCTATGCTATTAACAGAATAAAGACCTTGTCTTTACCACAAAGGGAATTACTCTTGTTTAGGTACACAGGAAGAGGGAAGGGAAAAGGGATGAAGAAAACAAAGATGAAGAACAGTAGTTTAGACACATAAACACCTCCTACCAAGCTGGTGTACTTCTGTTTGTTTCTGTCTTACTATCATTGAATTATTTGGAAATTACCTATTTCAGAAAGTCAAGTAAAGTGAAGAAAAAGCAGTAGCTCTACAGACCAGAACTGAAGAACTTGCAAAAGAAACGGATGGCAGAGAAGACAATTCTGATAAGGCATCCAGGACAACATCACAAGAAGAGAAAAGGAAACAAAGTGCTGCATGAAAAATTTGAATGGATCTAGAGATTAATAAAAACTTTGAACTGGACAAACTAAGGAGATTAAATAAAAAAATCTCATCCACAAGCTATAGTTTCCTCACATAGAGATAACAGAAAGAAATGAAGGATTTTGAATTACACTTAATCTTTCCAGAAATTTGAGAAACACTAGCAACCTATAAAACCCTTAAAAAACATCAGTATCCAACAGACACAGAATACTAAAGCAGAGGGGTAACAAGAGAAACATCTCCAGAACAGGAAAGACACCAGCCAGAAACAAAAAATGCAAACAGCCTATTTTAAGGACCTGAACACTGCTTTCCACTCCCATGACAAAAACTAGGGGGGAAAAACCAACCCAAAAATGTATCCAGTATGTATCTGAACTTAGTAACAACTTGATGGGCTTCCCCAAATGTGCCTGATACCAAGACTCCTTTTTGGGAGCATATTATTCAATGACCCAGCTACAGAATTCCAGGCCACAACTTGGGTATTAGATGACCTTCTAGGAGAGAAACTCCAAATTTCTTGACAACAGAAAATTACACCCAAATCCAACACTGCATCTGTGAAAGGATTAACCAAAGATAAACTTAACAGAGCTAAAATATCATCACATCTTTATTTACATTCATTGTTAAAAACATTCTGCAAATAAGGGCATAACATACTGTAATACACCAACTGTAAAGAGGTGACAGATTTCCTTTTCAGAAACAGAGGAGGTTTCCTTTCTGCTCTTTCCCAGTTTCTCAGACAAACCTTGTGAGCCAAGGAGACTCAAAGAATCTGTTTCTAAAAAATACCGACTCAGTGAATCATCCTTTACAGCACCAGGTTTGCAAGCTATTCCTTACAGAAAACACAGCCATTCTGCAGACCCTTTGTTTTCCGAGTCTTTTCAAAACATTTAAAGAAATAGTAAACAAAGGAGACCAACTGCTATCTTATGATTTCTTCACTATCATTTACTAGCAGCCCCAGCATTTTTATTTAGTACTTTATTCCCTGGTAATGCAGGGGCCAAGTTAATAGACAAAAGAATACTACAAGCATTTTTCAAAAATGAAAGTTCTGAGAAGAAAATGCCTCTCAAACAACAGCAATCAGTTGCTGCAGTGACTTAAGAAGGTGGTATCTGAAGCTGTTGCTAACTTTATTGTTATTTCTGCTAAAAAATAATACAATGGTCAAATTGAAGAAGCATTTCAACAACACAAAGTGACGTCTTGATTACTCTCTTCTGGTATGCTTCTTTCAGCATACAAGTGCCATTCTGAGCAGTAACCCACTGCCTTTTCTTAGACCTGAAAAAGTTAAAATCACCATTTGCACTGGAATGCCCTAAAAATAATCAGAAAGCATGCATTTGTTTCAAAATACCTTTCAATGACTAAGTGTTATTTGCTGCCAGTTCTCACCTGATCAAAGAGATCTGTACCATCAGTTCCTGCTGCTTTCATTAGTTCATCCTCACCACCGGGATGATATTCCATATATGGTGTGACATTATATACAAATCCTGAAGAAAATGAAATATAGAAACATGTGAGCAGCACTTCCACAACTCTACAACCACTCCTATCTCCAAAAACAGTGAAAAGTTAGTGTATATTAAACAGTATAATGGCAAATAGTAAACATAATTGGCATAATATGACTTCACAAAACCTAAGTTACACAGTTATATAGAGCACACGACAGATGTTCCTACATGGAGATGCCAGTCCTATAATGACATGCCACTTCGTCCCAGTGAACATCTGAAGAAACCTGCAGGGTTGAGACTTCAACCTTGAAGTTGAACTTAATGTATCCTAGCTAGGGGGTAAAAGAACCAGAGACTGATTTAAACAAAGACATAAAATTGAGCCAGTTAGTGCACAAAACTGTTTTCACTCTGCCTTCCAATTAAGTTACCCCTGAAGTACTGTCATAGTTGTTTCCCTATATGCCATCACCTATGGAATAAAATGCCTACAGGAATGAACTGTCTTCCATAAGGACAAACTGCTACCATCAGCAACAAAACTTCCATTCTTCAGATTCAGCAACATAAAAAAAACCCCTTAAGATAGTCTATACTCATTAAAGGCTTATAACTCTGGTACCAAATCTGACCCAGTAAAAGAGCTCAGCATTCTTTCTACATGAGTACTGTTCTTAGGATTTCCAGGAAGATAAAACAATGCTTCTTCACAGGTTTGAAATCATGAAGTCTAATTATTGTTGCTATGCAACTGGAGTAATTAAAGCCTGGAAAATGCAGCTATAACCAGGTTTAACTACAAGACATGTTGCTGTTAACAGGACTACTGCAGACCTACCTAGCAGAATATTTAAAGGCATACACATTATCCAAACAGGAAGCTACCAGAAGTGGAACCGTGCCAGTGCTTTCGTAAGAAGCTTTTAACACATTAAGAAGTGTACATTAATTACTTCGGAAGGAGAGGTAAGCATTCAGCACTGGGCCTGGGGAAGACATACTTGAGAGAATCCTAGTTGGTAAGAACAGCCATCCCAGACAACAAAGGAAGGATCTCCGCATGTTTTACTGACCCGCTCCTCTGATGGATGTATTCCCTACGCCATCTTGTGTGCAGCACTGATTACTGCACACACTAAAACGTAATTACATTGTTAGGACCTCCTGAATATTCGTCAGTTAATCAATTTACCATCAAACTTGCAAGAGCAAAAGAAATCTCATTTATATACCCTTCACACTTTAACTCCCCTAACATCCCACTTACATATATAAATTTGTGTCCTATATGACAGCTTTCTTTGATGATCATCATACTGGGATTTTGAACAAAGTTGGTCTTTTACTTCACATTCTTCTCATCAATTTCTGTCCTAACAGACACACAGTCTAGCTACCAATGCAAAGACTTCATTTAGCTTTTCCACAATGGTGTTATATTGCTACCTGCCCATATATCGGGTCTACACATAACCTACCAGGATTCTCAGTTATACTGTTTTTTTCCTTAGTGTATCAACAAAGAAAAGGCAGAGATGGAAAAATTTAGACAGATAGAAAAGCAGCATGATGGAGTTCTGGTAAAACCAACCTCAGAGATGTAGTTAAGGGGGAATAAGAGATTAAAACCAAAACAGAAAAGTTTTAAAGCAGTGATTTTGTCTTCAGTAGATGTCCCTTTTTGAGTGAGAAAAATGAACAGACCTCCACAGTAAATAAACTCTCCTACTTAACTCTAGTTTTGCTAGCATGTGCAAGAGCACGCAGAGCATTAACAATCCTATTATTCTGTTCAAAAGCCAGTACTGAATGACATTTTACCCTTACTCTCTTATTCCTTTTAATGTCCAAAAAAACCCACAGTCACCCTCGCAGAGATACTGAACTTCCTTTTGCTGGAGTTCAGACATGAGATTACATCAAATACCAATGCTGTTCCTTACCAGAACAAAGTCACAACTAAATGAACCACTCCTCCTAGAGAAATGTCAAATTAGCTACTCAAATGTTATTAATCTATCTTCATAGAAGTGTTGTTATAATATACATAAGGTGATATTGATGTATTTTAGTCTCTAAATTAACTGGAGAGGAAACATTTCACTCCTTTCTGTAAGAAAAGTAAGAACTTAATTCTCAGCACTGAAAATACTTTTCTAGCCATAGCTATTGCTTCAGACTTTTGAGCTGAGATTTCATAAAAATAATACCATAAACAGAATGGCTTACTTGCCACAGGTGTTTGTTTGCCAGACAGAGATTATGATTGCTCTGTGTCATTTGCCTTACCAAGTTTTATGGACTAATATACAGGCTTGCACACTTGTTTCCCAAAGACCATTCCACAGGTCTAAGTAACATTTTTAGTATTTTTACGTCTCTAGATGCCTTAAAACAATCACTAAAAATAGTCAACTGTTACGGATAATAAACTGATGAGTGTCAGCATTTTCAATGCCTTATTTTTCCTAAGCCCTTGTTATTTGAGGTATTACCTTATATCTTGCGGTTTATTATTTTCATATGTAGACATAAAATAGGCATAAAATATGCCCACTTGGAAGACTTCTTAAGAAAGGCTTGAAAGTAAGAAAATCTTTGTGACACAAAATCTCTAACTTGATCGAAGTTCTGTCCAATTATGTCAAGATTACACCTTGCCCAAATACAGAAGGTGCATAGTTTGTTTTGGGGTGTGGCTTCTTATTGCTCCTTCTTCTTTAAGTACAGAAGAGAAAACGTAGGCAAAAAACACAGAAGGAACATCACAGCAACCAACCTCTTATACATATCCAGCAGTCCTCCTTTTTGTTGTGCTTAGCAAGCTCATCTTCGGTCACTTCAATCAGCCTCCCTTTTAAACCAGTCATGTCCTTCCCACTTTTAGTTAGTCGAATCCAATCCATAAGACTCCTTCCTGGCTTTAAAGGTACCTGAAAAATAACAAACATACAAACATTGTTAAACTCTAAAGGAACAAAGAGCCATTCAAAACACTTTTCTAAACTCCCTAGGAAGACTCAGACAAAACAAGAAATAATACAACCTGTATTCTTCACTGCTATTTGAGAGCCCTCCTCAGCAGTAAGGGTGCTTAAGGAAGCATCCTATCTGGTAACCCAGACAAGGGAATTATTGAACATGAACAAACGTTTAGACGACTCTTCACAAAGCAAACTGCACATACCAATTCCTACTGTAGTGGTAAAAAGCTTTTACCAACATCATTTGAGATACGGCCTGGAAACCTACGAGCAACAAGGAAGAGAGATTTGAAAATCACGGCCAGGTAGGACAAGGTAGGAAAGTTCACCTTCACAGCATTCATAAAGACTTTCTGCAAGCCTTACAGCAATTGGAAATCTCACCCAGAGAATGGTGGGATCAAAGTCTTCCAGCTTACCAGGGCTCTAAGAGCCATGGTCTGCCCGATAGAGAGAGCAAGATCTTCAGAGTGTCTAGCACCTCCCTTTTCAACACCATCACAGACTGGGAACCCCTCTGATCCAAACTCTTAACAGCAGGGAACAGAGTTAGAGAATCATGGGTTTATGAAGCTGCAGCAAAACCAGAAGCGAGAAAACTCAAGAGCACATAGACCCACATCGCTTCATGCTACTTTAGTCTGAGTTTGCTTTCCAAATCTCACATCTGCAGACACAAAGTGCCCCCAAAACCACTCCGAAGATGAAGACCCAACGCGTCTTCAGAGTAAGCTGTGCACTATAGTTTCAAGCCGAAAGCCTCCATTTCCACGCAGGAGGACCTCAAAACAGCCTTGGAAAGCAGAGCAGGAAGCGTTATCACCACCGCCTTCGAAAACGAGAAGTCCTAAGCCT